ATTAATACTACTTCCCTTTGTGTTAATTAAGTGATACACAACTTTCCTTTGATATATACAATTTAATTAATACTACTTCCCTTTGTGTCAATTAAGTGATACACTACTTTCCTTTGATATATATAATTTAAAAAATACTACTTCCCTTTGTGTTAATTAAGTGATACACTACTTTCCTTTGATATATATAATTTAATTAATACTACTTCCCTTTGTGTTAATTAAGTGATATACTACTTTCCTTTGATATATATAATTTAATTAATACTACTTCCCTTTGTGTTAATTAAGTGATACACTTCTTTCCTTTGATATATATAATTTAATTAATACTACTTCCCTTTGTGTTAATTAAGTGATACACTTCTTTCCTTTGATATATATAATTTAATTAATATTACTTCCCTTTGTGTTAATTAAGTGATACACTACTTTCCTTTGATATATATAATTTAAAAAATACTACTTCCCTTTGTGTTAAGTGATGTCACTACTTTCCTTTGATATATATAATTTAATTATTACTACTTACCTTTGTGTTAATTAAGTGATATACTACTTTCCTTTGATATATATAATTTAATTATTTCTACTTCCCTTTGTGTTAATTAAGTGGTATACTACTTTCCTTTGATATATATCTATAATTTAATTAATACTACTTCCCTTTGTGTTAATTAGGTGATAAACTACTTTCCTTTGATATATATTATTTAATTAATACTTCTTCCCTTTTGTCTTCATTAAATGATATACTACTTTCCTTCTATATTTGAAATTTAAATAATACTACCTCCCTTTTGTCTTTATTAAATGATAAACTAATTTCCTTCTATATTTGAAATTTAAATACTACTACTTCCCTTTGTTTTAATTAAATGATATACTACTTTCCTTCTCTTATCTGTCATGGTCATGGCCATTTGAAAAACATTGAATTTTCTTTATCTTCTTTTGAGTAGTATATATACTATGTTCATGATTTGAAATGAATTATTCATGACTTTCTTTCATGTATTCACTGAATTATGTGCTTATCTAGATCATGTTTATGTCAGAGTGAATAAGGACAGTATCCGTGAGTGGACTGATTGCTATCAGGGGCAACTCCAAGATTGATCTATTTGAAAACATTGATGGAAGTGAACTTTAACGCACTTGACAGTAATGTTGACAAATCAATTTAGAATTACAGTTTGTAGAGTTAGATGAATCTGATTTAGATGAGTTAGGTAGACAAGACTGTGTCTGATACCACTGTCTGTGTTGACCCTGAGGCTGGTCATCAGACGAGAGCTTTATTCTGCTTTATTCTGGCATCGACTACACATATATCTGTGGCTGAAGACCCTTGTTATGGTCAGAAGCCAAGCAAATGACAAGAGCTCTTGTCTGTAAGCCTGGAGATAACCCTGTCAGATAGTTGTCATGAAAATAGCACTGTAGACAATAGAGGAGGGAAGGAAGAAGGGCATGGGTGCAACTGAAATATGTTGGAAGGTGAATAGTATCTCTTAGATATGTTCGAAGGTAAATAGTATCTAAAAAAAAGTCCAACTGTTTGATGAACTCCTACTTGGTTAATGTAGTGTGGCTGTTGACTTGATAAGTTTGGAACAGTTTGAAGAGTGAGGTCACAGACATAGACATGTTGAGCTTATCAAGATAGTCCATAGATCATTCTGGAAAAGTTGTTTGTGTAAAAGAGCTACAGTTTGGGAAAAAAACGTGTCCTAGGTTTACCCTTGTCACAGGCTAACGAACTAGTGGCCTTGTCTAATCCTGCTGTGATCCGAGAAGCCCCCATGACTTACTTGTAGACCTATCTGTAAGTAATCTGTGTAAGCACCCCTACTTAAGACCTGAAATTTGTTCTGTATTTTCTGGTGTATAGTCGAAGTTGTAGCAGTATCATTCGGGGTAAATGTGGTTTTATTCATACCATGTTAGGTTTTATGCCGGTGAGTGGTATAAAACTGAACAAGGGACACATAAAACCACATATACCCCATGTGATACTGCTACAACCTATTTATCTTTAAATACCAACATGTTATTATTAGCCATTGTAAAAGAATTAAAACAAATTCAAAATTGATAAAAAACAGCTGTGCAATTGAGTTGAGGTTAACATGTGCTGTGTCACCTGACTTTCATTGATTCGGAAAAAGCATGTGGCTTTTTGCTTCAAAGTAGGGATAAGGGATTTATTCTCCCGCTCAGAAATCCACGTACAACCTTCATGGTGGGGTATAAGGGATTTAGTCTTCCGCTGGGAAATTTATTTCATTCCCAGTATTTTATCAAGTTAGTGTGAACCAATCACATCTTATCATTCTCACATGGAGGTACGATAAGGCAGTTTGTTTTCAGAATAGGAAGCAGTGAAGATGGGCTTTGTAATTGCCTTATAAGTATTATAAAAAATTGTTTAGTGTCATCAACTAAGTTTGATGGCTACTGCTTGGACTCTGAACTGAAGACAAATTTTTGTTGTTCTGTTTCAATAAATGCACACACACACACACACACACACACACACACAACGGCACCCTGACTTGGTCAATAAATAACAATTTAAGCACCTGTGGCGCTTATTATGACGAATACGATATGTAATTTGAACTAAACGTTTGAGTGAAGTTTGATTGGTTTCTTTATCATGGCAATAATACAACATGAAGTGTAATTGTCACATGTATTTATTACTGTGTAGTTGATCCTCAGTGATAAATCGTGAGAAACCTAAGACTGATTAATGAGTTAGGTGATCATATCGTTTATTCATGATTTGTGGAGCTTTTACCCTCTAAGAAACTTTGTCCTCTGCTCAGATGACTTATACAGTGATCTTTATGAGGACTGGGATAAACTTGTGAAATGGGAGAGGAAGTGACACGTTGCCATGATGTATTCAACAATAAATGTGCACTGACCTTGTCTCTAAAGACTGACCTTGAGAAACAAATCATCCACATTTGAATATTTGTTATTGTGTGATAGGGTAATGGATACGCCGGTGTGAGTGTTGGGGGCTGCGTGTGCTGCAAGGTTTTTTGTTGTGCCAGGGTTGCACACTGTCAATCTCAGCGGCCATTCTGCAGTGTTGACAGGCATAGGCTATAATTTTGTGTCATCTTTTCAACCTGACATGAAACCCAGGCATACAATGCACATATATATTACATTAATAGTGTTATCAGCATCTTGTATGTGACCCGCCTGCCAGATGGGCCATCTCCTGTCAGGGTCAATCTTCACAGAAACTGTAGCCGCAAACAGACTGAAAACGAAATCAAGTCATGTTTAGCGCAAGTAACATTTAACAACGGTTTGCAGTGGTATGTCTGTGTTTAAGTGAAAAATGTCCATAGTTACAGCCTCAAGGTCCTATCTGTGGCATCAGAATTGTTGGTTCTAAAGATGATGTAAGGAACATTTGTAGCCCAATGATGACGTTTGTTGTGATGCCACCACTGTCATGTGTCTGTGTCAGATAGAGTGTTACAACTTTTATCATGACAGTTATAGTGCTACAACCATCGTGAGTCTACGCCAAAATGCTTCTACACTCACAGCCCTATTATCCTAACTGTTATGATGCTACGATCATCGTAAGTTAGGCCAAAATGCTTTAACACTCACAGCCCTATTATCCTGACTGTTATGATGCTACGATCATCGTAAATTAGGCCAAAATGCTTCTACACTCACAGCCCTAATCATGACTATTATGATGCTACGACCATTGTAAGTTAGGCCAAAATGCTTCTACACTCACAGCCCTATAATCCTGACTGTTATGATGCTACGACCATCGTAAGTTACGCCAAAATGCTTCTACACTCACAGCCCTATTATCCTGACTGTTATGATGCAATGACCATCGTAAGTTACGCCAAAATTCTTCAACACTCACAGCCCTATTATCCTGACTGTTATGATGATACGACCATCGTAAGTTAGGCCAAAATGCTTTAACACTCACAGGCCTATTATCCTGACTGTTATGATGCTACGATCATCGTAAGTTAGGCCAAAATGCTTCTACACTCACAGCCCTATTATCCTGACTGTTATGATGCTACGATCATCGTAAGTTAGGCCAAAATGCTTTAACACTCACAGGCCTATTATCCTGACTGTTATGATGCTACGATCATCATAAGTTAGGCCAAAATGCTTCAACACTCACAGCCCTATTATCCTGACTGTTATGATGATACGACCATCGTAAGTTAGGCCAAAATGCTTTAACACTCACAGGCCTATTATCCTGACTGTTATGATGCTACGATCATCGTAAGTTAGGCCAAAATGCTTCTACACTCACAGCCCTATTATCCTGACTGTTATGATGCTACGATCATCGTAAGTTAGGCCAAAATGCTTTAACACTCACAGGCCTATTATCCTGACTGTTATGATGATACGACCATCGTAAGTTAGGCCAAAATGCTTTAACACTCACAGGCCTATTATCCTGACTGTTATGATGCTACGATCATCGTAAGTTAGGCCAAAATTCTTCAACACTCACAGCCCTATTATCCTGACTGTTATGATGCAATGACCATCGTAAGTTACGCCAAAATGATTCTACACTCACAGCCCTATTATCCTGACTGTTATGATGCTACGATCATCGTAAGTTAGGCCAAAATGCTTTAACACTCACAGGCCTATTATCCTGACTGTTATGATGCTACGATCATCGTAAGTTACGCCAAAATGCTTCTACACTCACAGCCCTATTATCCTGACTGTTATGATGCTACGACCATCGTAAGTTAGGCCAAAATGCTTCTACACTCACAGCCCTATTATCCTGACTGTTATAGTGCTACGACCATCGTAAGTCTACTCCAAAATGCTACAATCCTCACAGCCATATTATCCTGAGTGCTACGACTGTTATGTGGCATGGTAGTTTTTCTGGTGAATGTTTTGTTTGAATAGCTTGTGTTCATGCCTGTAGTTTCACGCTCCCTTGTTTCTAGTGGCTGCTGCTGTGGATGAACCTGCCTGTATGTGCCCCAAGCACCTGTTCTCATGCGGCAACTGCATCTGCATCCCGCACCAGTGGGTGTGCGACGGTGACGACGACTGCGAGAAGAGCCAAGATGAGGCAAAATGTGGTAGGTTTCTCATTGGTTGGATGTGATGTGTGTTTGGATTATGGTACTCTAAATATTTTCCCCTCCCTTCCCACACAGGGAGGCTCCTGTCACAGTATAACTTTCCCCTCCCTTCCACCACACAGAGAGGCTCCTGTCACAGCATTACATTCCCCTCCCTACCCCTCCCCTCCCTACCACCACACAGGGAGGCTCCTGTCACAGTATTACTTTAGCTTCAATCAACACACAGGGAGGCTCCTGTCACAGTATTACTTTAGCTACAATCAGCACACAGGGAGGCTCCTGTCACAGTATTACTTTAGCTACAATCAGCACACAGGGAGGCTCCTGTCACAGTATTACTTTAGCTACAATCAGCACACAGGGAGGCTCCTGTCACAGTATTACTTTAGCTACAATCAACACACAGGGAGGCTCCTGTCACAGTATTACTTTAGCTACAATCAGCACACAGGGAGGCTCCTGTCACAGTATTACTTTAGCTACAATCAACACACAGGGAGGCTCCTGTCACAGTATTACTTTAGCTACAATCAGCACACAGGGAGGCTCCTGTCACAGTATTACTTTAGCTACAATCAACACACAGGGAGGCTCCTGTCACAGTATTACTTTAGCTACAATCAACACACAGGGAGGCTCCTGTCACAGTATTACTTTAGCTACAATCAGCACACAGGGAGGCTCCTGTCACAGTATTACTTTAGCTACAATCAGCACACAGGGAGGCTCCTGTCACAGTATTACTTTAGCTACAATCAGCACACAGGGAGGCTCCTGTCACAGTATTACTTTAGCTACAATCAACACACAGGGAGGCTCCTGTCACAGTATTACTTTAGCTACAATCAGCACACAGGGAGGCTCCTGTCACAGTATTACTTTAGCTACAATCAGCACACAGGGAGGCTCCTGTCACAGTATTACTTTAGCTACAATCAGCACACAGGGAGGCTCCTGTCACAGTATTACTTTAGCTACAATCAACACACAGGGAGGCTCCTGTCACAGTATTACTTTAGCTACAATCAGCACACAGGGAGGCTCCTGTCACAGTATTACTTTAGCTACAATCAACACACAGGGAGGCTCCTGTCACAGTATTACTTTAGCTACAATCAACACACAGGGAGGCTCCTGTCACAGTATTACTTTAGCTACAATCAGCACACAGGGAGGCTCCTGTCACAGTATTACTTTAGCTACAATCAACACACAGGGAGGCTCCTGTCACAGTATTACTTTAGCTACAATTAGCACACACTGCCACTGTCCCAGAGTTACAAAAAATACTTCTCTACTTCAATTCCCACTGGAACTGAATCCGGTATTTCGGGCAATAGTTTTTGTACTTACCGATGATAATTGTAAAAACACCAACACTGGCAAAACTAAAAACGTTGTAGAAGAAAATAAAGTGTTTTTTTAGATATCTGGGAAGGTGATCGGGATGTATAGCTCTGTCAATCACGGGGACGATTGATTCAATCATGTTGACATGTGCCAGGACTCTACAGTGGGTTGGAGACCATCTGGTGAAATCCTGCACGCTACAAAAAACATGTCTTACTTGTGCTCTGGAAGCAATTGCATCCCCCTGTAAATAGGACATAAATACTGTAAATCTTGAAATTAATGCGTCTCTAAATTGATAGGACTACTGACCTCTAGCCAAAACTGCGGATCAAAATCAATGCGACTCCCTCCACCCCTTCCCCAGTGGAATGATGCATATCCTTACCTGAATCCAATCTTATCTTAATCCAATCAAACAACAAGTAGCACCGCTTATTAGTGCTGAGTAAATACTTCTGTAATAGCAATAAACAGTGTTTCCTAAAAGCAACGCACAGTATATATGTTTATTCTGTTGACTGGCATTCAGGAAGTTCAAAGGCAATAAAATAATTAAACTAACAATAGTTCAATGATGCCTAGTTGACACAAGTGGGTAGAACTCTTGACTCCAGCAGTGATAACTCACCGGATGCCTGTTGTGTAATTCCTTTTATTTAAATGACATTGTTGTATACTTTTGTAAGTTGGTAGTGGAGACAGAAATGAGAAGTTTCACTCATGCGAACAAAGACCAATCGCATTTTTTGCATTTAATTCACGGTCTCATTAATTTAAAGATGTACAGTTTATCATAAATAAGACGTTCTTTATTGTTACACGTGTAACAGTTTCATGTCTTCCTGGTCTTCCAGCTTCTAAGTGCTATGAAAGACTTAATACTGAGTGAGTGTGTGAGTTATGTCTAATGCCGCTTTTAACAGTATTCCAGTTATATCGCGGCGTGTCAGCTTAAGTTGGGAGGAAAGCCCGAGGTGATGCAGGTCTCAGGTGTTTACCACTTCGGTGAAACTCACGAGCACGGGTATGGTGCTGACAAACCTAGAAACATAATCGGGGTGAACCGGTATTGGAGCTAAAAAGTCATTTGTTTCTGGCGTGCCCAAGGGACGCAACTCTGCACAGCGAATCGTGACGCCTTAGATGACTGGGCCACCCGTACCCATGACAGACGTAATACAGTTGTATTGGTTCATTGCATAATTCCTTATTGTGTGATGTTAGTGTTATTTTTTGAAGGAAACAGTTAACACGTTGGAGGTTAGGTTTTTCAAGCGAAAAGCTTTGTTATGACGAGGGTAACGGAATTATTTATTTTTAGTTGATTTTTTACTGACGTTTGCAGTAAACGTATGGCAGGAAATCAGCCTTAGGCGAACCTTCAAGAACAATGTAGAAAATATGAATATTTAAAACCCAAAATAAGCAGGTGTCAGACATCTTGCCACTTTTGTGATGACATGAGGATGGGTATGGTGCAGACAAACCAAGAATAAAAATTAAGGCAAAAGTGGTATGTTCATAGGATTCTGGCACCCCAAGGGACACAACTCTGCACAGAGACTTGTGGTGACAGTGCACCATGTGGTTTTGGGCACTCTGCTTGTCTGCAGTGATGATGGGGACATGACTCATTTATTTGAGAAATATATTTGCTTTAGAATCATTTCTGAATAAATAGCACTTTGTTATCATTCTGAAATTTGAAGATCTCACAGATTGAATCAGATGTCATAAAGTAATAAGGATTTGATTGCATCCTGTGTCAAACATTCTTCTGTTTCTGAATCAGAGGCCGGTTGACGTAACCACTCTGCTCTCCCTGAAACAAGACAGCCTACAATCCAAGTCGCATCCAGTATGCAGCACCAAACACTTGAAAATATCCTGAAAAAGATCCACAAGAATAAGGTCCAACAGAATGAATATTTGATGAGACTTGGACAGAGTTGAGTCCTTTCATCTAAAAAATGTGAAATTCTCCAACACTCCAGCTTTGCAAAAATTGAATTGAATCTGTGAGCGGGGTTTAGAGTGGGCAGCGATGTCCTCTGTGTCGCTATGGCAGCCAGTGGGGCAGGGCAGGTGAATGTTGGCCGTCATTGTTAGCCTTGCTCCAGTCTCCTGGGCACATCACACTCATGTTTATCCCCTGAAGTAAGGCTGTGTTTACAGTAAAGTAGAAATAATTCTATCAGGGAACTTTCAAGTCTTAAGGAGCCTTCATGTCCGAAGTTTAAGGGCTGGGAAGGGTGTGTGTATTGGTTGATAGAGCTGAGAAGGGTGTGTGTATTGGTTGATAGAGCTGAGAAGGGGATGTGTATTGGTTGATAGGGCTGAGAAGGGGAATGTGTATTGGTTGATAGAGCGGAGAAGGGGATGTGTATTGGTTGATAGAGCTGAGAAGGGGATGTGTATTGGTTGATAGAGCTGAGAAGGGGATGTGTATTGGTTGATAGGGCTGAGAAGGGGAATGTGTATTGGTTGATAGAGCGGAGAAGGGGATGTGTATTGGCTGATAGAGCTGAGAAGGGGATGTGTATTGGTTGATAGAGCTGAGAAGGGGATGTGTATTGGTTGATAGAGCTGAGAAGGGGGATGTGTATTGGTTGATAGAGCTGAGAAGGGGGATGTGTATTGGCTGATAGAGCTGAGAAGGGGGATGTGTATTGGTTGATAGAGCTGAGAAGGGGAATGTGTATTGGTTGATAGAGCTGAGAAGGGGGATGTGTATTGGTTGATAGAGATGAGAAGGAGACGAGGTATGTTTTAAGACGCTCATCACCTGGTCCACATTCATATTGACAAGTTCCTATAATATAGCACGAATATTTCTGACTGACATAAAATACCATTCATTCACTGTGTGTTTGGCTGAACTTATTTCAGTCTTGTCAGGTTGAGTATTCTTGGCATTTGAATGAAGGATAATATTTACTATTTCAACTTTGTGTGGAGCTGTTCGTTCATCCAAGTTTATGTTACCTCAGATTGCAAAGGATGTTTCCTGCAGGAATGTTACTATGGGACCTGGAGAACATTAATCAACACTTCCACTGAAAGCATACCGATCATACCATTGCTTCAGGAGCCGCACTAGTTGTGGGTTGGGAGGGGTGATACACTGGTTGCTTTGACTGCTAGGGTCAGTGAGTATAGATTGGTAACTCTGGCAGATGTGCCTTGGTACAAAGTTAGCTAGTAATGAATCATCTTTGGTACTTCTGAATATTTTTTTCAGTGGCAAGTTTTTGATTCAGAAAAAAAATCATGAGCATGTTTCAGATGATGATGACCAGGCCACAATACCTTACTGTGATATTTTATAACAGATTCAGAAGCATATTGAAGATTTTCATGACAAATTCTGTGATTTATTTTTGTCTCTACTGACACTACAGGTGAAGGTATTACTTCAGTCTGTGTCAGTGAGTGAGTGAGTGAGTTTGATTTTACGCCGCTTTTAGCAATATTCCAGCAATATCACGGCGGGGGGACACCAGAAATGGGTCTTCGGCGTGACGAGCGAACGCTTTAACCACTAGGCTACCCGACCGCCCCTCGGTCTGTGTCCAGGAGACATGGCAGGTGCTTGTTGTGGTCATACTAAATGTCACCAGGATAAGGCAAGGCCTTTTTTC